GTTGAAAGGGGTATCTGCCCTCTCTGCAGGTGTCGGTCCTGGTGATGTGTCACACTCGCGAGCTGGCCTTCCAGATCAGCAAGGAGTACGAGCGTTTCTCCAAGTACATGCCCAGCGTCAAGGTGAGAGCCAGGTCTTGGGGCGCCTCAATGACGGGGAGCCCCCCACCTCAGAACTGAGGCTGCTTCTGTCCTTGGGCATGGTGTCCACTTGCACGGGCAGGTCCTGTGCCCTAGAGGATTGTGGGAAGACTCTGGAAGATTTCGGGGGTTGGGACAGGGCTCAGCCTGTTTCCGTGACAATTAACAATACCGTAATATCACATCCTTCCCACTTTTTTTTTTTGGCTCGTTCAGTGCCTGGTTTGCCATCGGGCTGTTTCTCTATCCTGGCTGCCAGACTTTGTGCAATGAGTTCAGGTTTTTGCCTGATGCAGTTTGCCAGTTTGGCATAGTGGGGGTAGCCTCATAGAAAAAGTGTTGCTTTTTTCTCTATCTCATTCTTCCCCCTCTTTGTTATGAATTGCATCTGGCCGTCGCCCTCCCCGGGATGGGATGGGTCTGGTCAGTGCTGGGAGCTGAAGCGGTCTTGTAAGGAGCTGCTTCCCCTTCTTGTTCAGCTGAATGGTCCTGTTCGGCTGCCTCATTCTTCCCTTTTTGCTTGCCCCGCCCAGGTGTCTGTGTTCTTTGGAGGCCTGTCCATCAAGAAGGACGAGGAGGTGCTGAAGAAGAACTGCCCCCACATTGTGGTGGGGACCCCGGGCCGCATCCTGGCCTTGGCCCGCAACAAGAGCCTCAACCTCAAGCACATCAAGCATTTCATCCTGGACGAATGCGACAAGATGCTCGAACAGCTCGGTGAGTTGGGGCCGAGAGCCCGGCCCTTGAGAGGCAGGCAGAGGTGTGGAGGGCAGCTGAGAGCTGGCCTCTCGGGAGGCGGCGTTCCATGGGCAAAATGGCCGGTGGCAGCTTTTTCCGGACAGGTGGGGCAGCTTCAGTTTTCTGTACTGCTGGAATGTCCCTTTGTGTTTGGGAGTTCG